TATATATATATATATATATATATATATATATATATATATATATATATATATATATATATATATATATATATATATATATAATATCAAGTGAAAATAATTCAACAGATGGTTGAGAGGACATGTTTGTCTGTGCAGAGAAAAAGAAGACCTTTAAGACTGATGGTATCAGTGAGGAAGAGCGTGAAGAGAGTGACAGCATCTTTATCAGAAGAGAGAGCGCTGGTCTGTTAGCTGTGTAATCCAGCTCCGGCTCCTGCCCCTAATCCCTAATCCCTCACATGGATCCATGCAAGGGAGGGGTTGGCATACAGTAGGAGAGGTCGGGAACAAGTGAAATATTACATAACCGGAACACTATGTAGGACTATGCTGATTTCACACTGAATATCTGATATGAAGCAATGAACTGGAATATTGTTTTGTCTGCTTAGAAAAAGAAGTGAAGAAATTAAAACCATCGAGGCACTTCCAGGCTTGTGCTTGACAACTGTTCATCCTACAGCAAAGTCAACATGGCATTTTTACTCATACTTCTGAGATATCATGTTTGTTATATTTGCATAGCTATTTGTGTTACCTGCCTTCTGGTACCACACAAACAACCCAATAACAGTCAGTTAAAATGAAATTGTGTCATGATGATTTGTATGTGACAGGCCTGTTAGAACATTTCCACATTTCAATAAATAAAATATGACACCCAAAAAAACATGTTCTGCACTGCTAGTCATAGGGCTTGTGTCTAAATTAAGATGTAGTCAAGATGAGAACAATGTTGTGGTGTTGTAAATTTTGACTTGATAATATTTCAGATGCAGGTCGTAACAATAACAAAAACATGCTCACCCATTAATAGAATATAAGAAACTACAATGGACAGATTTTTGAGAAAGCAAATTCAAATATTTTTTTAAATCGACTAGTTTCCTGAATCGGCTGGTTTCGGGTTCACTTGACCCCAGTCAGACACATTTCCCAAAGGGTCCTTTACATAAAATGTCTTCTTGTGTTCAAATTTAACTAAACGGGGCACAACAGAATGAAACGAAACTCACGGCTCTCCAGACGTGTTTCAAAAAGTTAAACTATTTTTAACTTGACATGCTATCTTAAAAATTTAACACTCATGTAAGAGCTGTGGCACAGAAGGTAGTGTGTTGCTTCTGAAATATAAAAGGGCTGAAGAGCTTGTGGGGTTTGAGTTTGGCCCAGACCAAATCCCACTCTCTTTCCTCCTCTTTCTCTCTGAACATGGCACAATATTCTCAAAATGCAGTGGCCACTTTTGCAAGAGGATTTTATTATGTACAGCAAGAGCAAGATACAATTTTATAATAATAAATAAATCAATTAGAAGCATGTTTTAATAATTTTATAACAAATATGTATTTATAATAAATAACTCTATAATAATAAATGACTTTAAATTATATATAGATAGATA